GATACTATATTAGTTAGACTTATTCCCCTGTGATTGTCACAAGAAGACTTTTGTCCTTTCTTATAGATTGGGACAATCAGTGATTGAGACCACTCGGATGGGATTACGTCCAGTTCCCAGATTCTACCTAAGATCTCAGTCAATCTAGCTGCTAAAACTGGACCACCATCCTTAAATATCTCAGGGGTCAGTCTATCAGGACCTGCAGCTCGTCCTCGTTTCAGATTTCCTAACGCTTTCTCAACGTCATTAAGACTAGGGGGACTTACGTCGATTTGCCATTCAGGATGACTGGAGATCGTGGGTAACCGAAGAGTGGCTCGTGGCCAGTTGAACTGATCCCTAAAGTGTTCTGCCCATCGATCCAGTCTCCTGGATTGAGAATGGATAATAAGACCATCCTTTTCCGAGATAGTCTCACTCACATTCGGGTTCTTAATACCGGTTTCTTTAATAAGGCGGAAAAGTTGTCTAGTGTTGCCTATCGCCGCTGCCTTTTCCATCGCTTTTGCTTTCGCCACCCACCACTGTTCGCGGTCGTTACGCAGACTTTTTATAAGTCTGCGCCTAAGCTGACTACGCTCTTCATCATGCTCAGAGTCAGGTGGGATGCGTTTTCGAGCATCCATCAGTTCGGTCGATGCGACTGAAATCCACGACTTCATCCTAGCCTCATGGTTTACCTTCCTAGCAGATATCACTGCTGTTTCCACAGCCTTTTTGATATCATACCAACCTGCTTCTGGATGGGAATCGCTTGCATGGTTGCTTAACTCTCTCCCTAGTTGCTCCTGAAATATTTTCTTGGTTTGATTATCATTAAGTAAAACCCTGAGAGGCTTTCTTACGGTGTCTTTCCTACGTCCAGTTAGCCTTAAACAGATACGAGCTCGCACTAGAGCATGATCTGAATCCAAACATGTGCTCCAGAACGAGCGACAGTCTTCTATCGAACCCCTCCATCGGTGGCTGATGGCGATGTGATCTAGTTGAGTCCAACGTTGAGACGACTTTGGAGGTCGCCAGGTCAACAGATGCTTTTCCTTATGCCTAAAGTTGGTGTTCGCTAAGAATAGGCGGTTATCTGAGCATAGTTGCAACAGACGGTCGCCATTGTCTGTTCTCTCAGTCGCTATACCATAACACCCACCAAGATGTCTTTCCTTTTCACCTAGTCTACCTACTTGAGCATTAAAGTCACCAGCCATTATTACTATGTCAGAGCGCTTAGCTTTTTGGAGGAGGTCCGAAAGCTTTCTGTAAAACTCATCTTTAACCTCGTCTGAACTGCAGTCAGTGGGGGCATAAGCAGATATGACGAAGAGGCAACGGCGAGTGTCCCTATCCTTACGAGTCCTTACTGTCCCGTTTAGTCGGACAGCGCACAAACGACTATCTACTGGGATCCAGTCTAGGAGAGATAATTCTGCCCTAGGACTCAATGCTATGCCTACGCCAGCAAGACCCCTGGAAGCAGCATCAGGGCTACCGGATACCCGGAGAGTAAATCGAGCTGCTTCTTCGTTTTGACAAGGTGGAATCAGATTAATAATTTTACTAGGATCCTGTATGCGCGTTTCCGAGACGCAGCATACATCGATGGCACGAGTTTCTAAAGTCCTAGCTAATGATGCCTGTTGCCCTATTTGACACTTGAATATTTTGGAAATATTCAAGAGAAAGGAATAAAAAATGTTTGACATTGTCACTGTCGTGAATAAAAGTATATAACAGTCATAGAAAATAAATTAAAACCTGGCATCCAAACATTAAAATGTCAAAATGTATAGCTAATGCATCATAATATAGTAGTGTCATTTATGGGCAGAAGACTTAAAATACGTTTTTCAAAACATCTTTACCATCAAAATTGGCTTTGAACTTTGGTGAATAATGTTTTTCAGTCATTTGTTGCAATCATCGTACGAACTCCATAAGGTGTTTTGACCAAAAACACGATTAATACGGATGGAAAGTGACTTCATGAGCTCGTACTACATCTGAATATGGTATTCTACACTTCTCTTGCAACTTAATTATACATCATCTAAGATTGCACACCAAAGAAGCTGGTGGCTAAACATGAATAACGAATATCCCTGTAGCCTTAGTTTATGAATTTTCGCATTCTTACTTACTAATTCCTAACATTAAGGTAGATAACAAAGTTCATTCTCAGCAGTGTTTTTTAATATACTGTCCAAATATAATCGGGTGATACTTTTCAAGATATGCAGTGGACTAATAGTAACCTACCAGTGCCTTCTTATTACAAAGAGTGTTTGAGTCACGAATTAAAAGAAATCATAATTCTGTGCAACACTTGTAATTTTAGCTTACTTTTTATGTGAGAAAAGTTGGTAAACCCATTATTCAGCGTCAGTAATGCTTAGCTGCTGGCGAAGAGATGAAATTCAGTGAATTTTAATGTTCATTACAATTCAACTTTCGGTTCATTAATTACTTAACTTTGATATTTCAGGATGATCAGTAGTACGTCGAAGTAGAACCGTTCTTATCAAATTTTTAAGAACTTTGTGGTAGGTTTAGTTTCACTGATCTTTTAATGCTGTATACTTAAGATAAAATTTAAAATATGAGTACTTCGAACCAATTAACATCTTTACTTTGCATAATAATAAAATAATTTAATTACGATGGAAGGGTTCTTTGCACAGAAAATAAAAATTGTCATATTAAAAAATGGTTATTGTAAAATCCATTTTGTATTTTATGATCTTTACCTGCTTCTATTTGATACCCTCGATAGAAGAGTTTCGACGAAGAGTAAAACTATCAATAATATACAATATAACATAACAAAACAATGAATGACTATATATGTATGACTATATATGTATGCGAGAATAATTTCGCTATTTCGCTATTCTATTATGAATCCTTTCTCTCATTGATTTGCTGAACAAATAGAGAGTTTCTGTTAACTTCAGATTTATATTCTGTCAATATAAATAGCAGCTGAATAATGTTGGAGTACCTATTGTCAGCTATTGATTTTCGTTTTTTCAGACAAGTTAAAAACGGATTTATTCAAAAATCTTATTGTGTACTTGTTTTGACAGGTTTCTTTAGTCAGTTTAATCACTTATGAACTGGCTACTAGTTAGTAGATTTTGTAATCTTACTCCTTTATTTTGCACATCATCATTATTTAATGTTAAAACAAATAACAACTTTCATATTAAAATGTGGGAATAAAGTTATAATAATAATATGTTGTAGGAAATTTTCGAGTTTTTAAATGAGCTTATTAAGTAAGAAAGCAATAGATAGTGAGTAAGACGTATATATATATATATATATATATATATATGTTACAGTACGTTAAATGGTTTTAATGCATCTAACTAATCATTGATCAATACACAAAAAAATAACTAGTAATTCAGATTATTTTAAATCGCTAATAAAAAACATTATTCTTGTTAAGTTACGTATAAAAATAACGTAGAGTGCTCTCGACAAACATTTAGGTGTTTAATGATGTTTTATTTAATTGTTAATCATTATTTATAAAGTGTATATCCATTTTACTATTTAATCAAGTAAACGTTGGTATTCACCATAAAACTATACAAAATCAGAATTTTCAGATTTTATTTCATCAAATTCATGGTTTGTTAGGCATGTAAAACAAACTACCTATTTGTTTTTGAACATGTAAGCACATAATCTTCAAAATAGATATTACCATGTATTAATGATTATATTACAGTAATGATTGAATATTGAACCTTTGAATATAAGTTATTTGACACATTCAACTATATTTTTATAATACATTCATGTACACTGATTGATAATGTAACGCGAGTGAAGAACTGCTCATCTAACCTATTCAAGAATAGAATAATGGGCACCACAATGCCAAATATCTATTCTTTAATACTTTCACGTTAAAAAGCTTAAAGCTTGAATTCAATCTACAATAGGATATACATAATATTTCCTCACGCAAATATTAATAATAGACCAATGTATGCATATTAGAAATAATATAGATTGATGTATTTTTGTTTTAAAAACTTAAAAAACATGGAAAATAGAACAAGAAACTAGGATAGAACCATTTTAACACTGTCAACAAATGAACATTGTCCAAAATTATCTTTCACTAAACTAACTATACTGGTTATTAATATGATTGTTCAATTTCACAGTCAGCATCATTTAAGTGTAAACTATGGTTTGGAAATAAACAATCACATTATTTGAACAAGCGTCTTAGCATCTAATGAATTGTCTATAGATTCATATTAACAGTGATCATGGGTTGTTCTTTGATTCTTTATCAAAAATCTTAAGCTCAACGCTTAATTGTTAAATAAAAATAGCTTGTAAATGTATCCAAATAATCTGCATTTCAAATACCAAGAAAAAATGGCCTCTTGTTGTATACATGAATATTATATTTTTACACATTTTTGAAACTATGAATCGATCAATGTTAGACTACCATTAGAAATCTGGAAGCACTGGATGGCCGTTTCGTCCTGGTATGGAACTCCTCAGCAATGCGCGTCCACGACTCCTGCACCTTGCAGGATTCGAACCCAGGACCTTCGGTATTGTGTGCGAACGCCTAACCATCGGACCACTGTGTAACTTAACAATCTTCACAACCCCGTAATGTATATCATATTTTTGCCAGAAAACATTTTCAGCAGATCATTGTGAAAAGAAAAATCCATTCTCGTAGATCGATTTCTAGATAGCTTTAAATTAAAAATAATTGGATAGGATTTGTTTTAAAGGCTACGTCATCACATCACATCATAATAAGTATTTTTTTTCTTAAATTTCGGTACATTCAAATAATTTCTTGCGTGACCGGAAATAGAATCATTTCTTCACTCTACTCAGTAAAATAATGACAGTAAGACTTCAAAACATTGAGAATTTCAATTTTCATTTTTTGATAGCAATAAACTTCAAGCTATATTTGAATTAGATTTCCAGAAAAAAAATTAGTTACTAACCTTATATTCATGATGCTTCTTTGTGAACAATCAGTGGCGATGTTGAATGTCAGAATATAATCTATGTACCATTTGTTTCAGACCACACAAAAGACAAAATATTTGCACATAACTTCGATGTATGAATTAGTAACAAACAGGAGTGCGTTATATGAAAGGTATGTATGTGACTGTCAATTTGCCGTTAAAGATCAATATTATTAAGTTTAATTTTTTTCAAACAGCGATAATATTAGAATATGTTTAAATTATTTAATTGATCAAGCTGACAAGTTGTTTATTGAACAAGCATATTATTTCTCATAAATATATATTAGCACATATCAAGATCATCATTATATATATATGCAATCCTTGAATGTCATTTCATAAAAATAGTTACAGTCTTCAAGAATTTACCGAGGATCTGATATAAATTTGTCCAAATATAGATAGATTTATTATATTTATTTATGAAATTGAAAATTTATCAAATCAGATACTGAAATGGTTATGTCCAATGAAATTGAATCCAATTGAATTTTAGTTTGAGAAAACTCTGGACGTTCAAAATTATAGTTATAACTTCATTTAAACAAAACTATATTATACTTCATTTCCAATATTCTACCTGACAAATAGATTCGTTGTTATAAAAAAACTACTTTTAGGAATCAAACATTTACGTATATACTTACATCCGTGTGTATTACTTTATTACAGCAATCTGTACTGTATCAATTGTGAGAGGCAGGTTAATCCAACCGACGAATCGTGAGACATAATCACAATCAAAGTATACTATTTCTTTTGCAAGTTGATTTTTTCAATGCTCAAAATAATAATGAAGTACGTTTTTGTTTAAACGCAGATATTAATAAGTATTCTAGACTTTAGATTAATAGGAACTTTAAACTAGACAGTTTTTTTCACAAAAATTATTTTTTCCTGACAAGTCACACAAATAATTTTCATGCTACTGAGAAAGCAGATAAAATTAAAAGAACTTAACTAATAGTATTTACTAGACCATTCTCATTCTCACGTAGCTTTAAACAATGCTAAACAGTCCCAGTGATTTGCTGAATTCAACCACAAATACTAAATGAACGCAAATAACACGAACCTATTTTAATATAAGCTGATACTATAAAGATTAGATTCAATGTAACTAAAGTTTAGATTATTTTCACTAGATTATACAAACTATGTATCAAGTTACATGAATTAGATGTAGTAAAATTGAAAATCATCATATCAATGGTTTAGTGATATGAGTGTTACAGAAATAGTTAAACAATATATAGTTTGTCAATTAAAGCTTTAGAAGAAGAAAGACTCTCATATTAAAAGGAAAATTATTGATAAAATTCGATCTTAAAGTAAACTATTGAGCAATATTCTTCTGTACAATAATGGCCAGTGTGATAATCGCAAACATATACCAATTAAGAGATTTGTACTATATCTGGTTTATGGGGATCATTTACTAGAGCTATTTTTACATGGATTGATGCATATCGAAAAATGTACACTACTGATCAGGATCTACCAAATTATTGTAATCCGTGTTTTTCAAATCTACATAGCAAAACTTAAAAGCAGTGGCTTAACATTATTCATTATCCATTCTTCATTCAATCTTCAGTTTCAATGTTCATTTCGGTATGTTCTTATTTTCATTTAGATTTCTAGTGTCTGAGATTCCGTAAAAAGCATTGTCGCCAATTTTACTTATTTCCTATGTCCGTTTGATGGGTAAAAACTAAATGGGAACCCGTGTTATTTAATTTTATCTATCCATTTTTCTGTCTATCAGTCTATTTATTGATTCACTAATATATTTTTTAATTTTGAAATAATGATTCCGTGAGTTTTCAAAACATTTTAGGAATAACTTTGTGGAGTTCCTGTCGAAAGTAGGACTTTATATCGCTATTCATAATAATAATTATTGTTTTTCAACTAAAATATCCAAAGTGAATGATACAACATCCACCCAAACCAAAAATATTGCTTTATTATTACATAACACATTTATTTATGTGACTATTCTTAACTAATATAAGTGACAGCATATATTATTTACATGTCATATAAAAAACTCATCCTGGTCCCTTTCTAAGGTTACTACTGGTCCCAAGCCCATATGAAGGAGGATGGTGGGAGTCAGAAGGTCTTCACGTAGAAGATAAAACTTGGTCGTGCTTGGAATAAATGAAACCCATTGAACACAGACTGGACGAAAAAGATTAGTTTCAGGAGAGATGTAGTTGTACTCCGGCCACGAAGAAGAAAGTGCTTCACGCACACAAGGAATTGCACTGATGCTATCCAAGGAAGAACGAAAAGCACTGATAGGATGGGAATCTTGTGGGAATCTCGCCAAAGCATCCTTCAAGAAAAAGAAAGACGGGATTGTAGAGTGTTATGTGTTCATTAACAATCATAGTAAAAACGATAAAGATCAATGTCATGAGAGATTACAGTCGATCGTTGAGAAATGCTCAATCTCCAAGTTTGAAATGGATAACAGTGGAAGTGGGATGGCATTGACTCGGAGAAAGGGATGAAAACAGTGAGAGATTCTAAAAGCCGTGTGCCTTTAACAGAATGGTTATAGGTAACATTATATCTACACATAAACGTAAACACAAAGCCACACAGGTTTCAAAGGATCACACCACAGATAACCAAATCGACCATATCTGCATCAATAAAAAGTTCAGAATGATAGTGAGTAATACAAAAACAAATACTGTAGCTGACATAGCTTAAGATCATCACTTGATAGTGAAACCCTAGAAGCACTGGACAGCTGTACGAACAGCGCCACAAAATTTTAATACGACCTTTCTTTATGATACTAGCAAACTGAATGTTTTCAAAATGGCTCTCGGTAAAAAGTTCCAGGCCTTTGGCGATCTAATCAATAAGGCGAAAACTTCCTCGGGAGACGGATGGAAAGGGATCGAAGAAGCAATAACTTCAGCATGTCATGAGGTTTCGGACCAGAAGAAGTGCCATCACAAAAAGGTATCTTCATAAATGCTCTAGATTAGATTCGAGAAATGAAGCACAAGCAGCCGGTCACGAACAGAGCAAACCAAGGCGCAGGTCAAAAACACGAATGCAAATAAGTAATTGAATAGGAATATAGTTGACAACTCAGATGTGGCCGGACAATCTGGACTTCGCAGACGATCTAGTTCTTCTGTTCCACTCACAACAACAAATGCAGAAGAAGATAGCCAGTCTAGCGGTAGGCCTCAACAAACACAAGGAGAAAGTAAGATCCTTAGATGCAAGACAACATTCACCAACCAAATCACACTTGGTGCGAAAGCTTTGAAAGGTGTGGAAACTTTTACGTACATGGGAGCATCATTGAAATACAAGGTGGATCTGATGCAGACGTGAAGTCATAGATTTTCAAAGCAAGTGTAGCATTTTTGTACTTGAATAACATTTGAAAGTGTAAACATTTATCGATCAACATCGAGACGGTTCTACTGTATGAAACGGAAACTTCGAGAATCTCAAAAGCCACCATGCACAAGATATATGCGTTTATAAACAATTATCTACACAAGAGACTGTGAATTAGATGGTAAAATACTATGAACAACAACCTACTTTGGGAGAGAAAAAGCCGGCTTCTAGCCAAGGAATAAATTAGGAAGTGATGCTGGAGGTGGATAGGATACATATTACGGAACTTACTAAAATGCGTCGTGAGGCAAGCCCTAAGTTGTAATCCCCAGAGTCAAGTGAACAGAGGTAGACCAAAGAAAAAACTGTGCTGGGAATCGGAAACAGACACGAAAAGAACGAATAGCGGTTGGGAAGAACTGGAAAGGAATGTTCAGGGCAGAGAAGGTTGGAGAATGCTGGTCGGTGGCCTATGCTCTACGATAGGTAAGCGTGAAGAGAAAACAATAATTAATAAGTCATTATCATTTCCGTAATTGTCTGCCACATCCAGTTATTGAATTCTTTTCTAGTACACTAATCTAGAGGATGTAATCGAATTATTCATCCTGATATACATTTCAGTTTATTCATAAGATTATAACTTATTCTACGTTACAGGTTCACTGAGTATTCCAAAATAGTTATGTTTCCGTACTTTTACTTGTTCAGTAGGTATACTTAGTCAATAGATGATCCCAATATTATTTTGTAGTATGGAGCTTATATATTTTAAGTGCATCGATGTGCACAATAAATGTTATAGTTTTCAGTGAATATTACTGATTTGCAAAACACAAATATTTAGACCACCATTAGAAACCTGGAAGCACTGGATGGCCGTTTCGTCCTGGTATGGGACTGATCAGCAGTGCGCACCCACCACCCCTGTACCTCACAGGATCCGAACCCGGGACCTTCGGTATTGTGCGCGAACGCCTAACCATCGGACCATTCGGCCGGCATCCAACGGTGTTAATGTCTAACTCTGGTTGATCTACGGATTTTTGCGCGACCTCACCCATTTGTCTTTGGTAGTTACTGCCTACACCCGACAGGGTTGAACTCCATTGGTCACGTCTTCTTAACTAGAACTCCTAGAATTTCCTCGTGAAGCTGGTCACTAGTGAGCACTGTTACGGCATCTAATGGTGGTCTAACAATGATTTATTGATGATTTGAAATGTGTAAAAGCACAAACCTCCAAAACTCTGCCCGAAAATACATATTTAGGATGATTATTGACCAGTAACTTGTATCAGGTTCTTTTTATTATTCAACAATCATCAAGAGACTGAAAAGATAAACGCCTAAGTGATAATAATTTCCCAAGACAGCTCGATAGAAGAAAAATCGATTTCAACGAACTTTTATTTGTAAGTAAATATTTTTCTCCCAATAAAGTAGTATTTGGATAAATTTAGCCAATTTACTACTATCGCTTTCACACTCTTAAGCTTATGTACATGCATTCATAACAAATATAGATTTTAATAAAACATAAGTGCTTTTCGTAATGTAATTTTATTTACAACTTTCTGACAGACAAAAACAAACCTATTTTAAAATATTGATTTGACGAGAATTATTTCTGTCAAAATGAAATGATATGTAAAATAAGTAATTCGATTGTTTTGCAAATAAATGAAA